TCCCGTTCTGGGCTTTGTGTGGTACCGAAAGTCTCTAGGAGGAGAGACAAAGTATGTGTGTGATGATCATGGAAAGCGATGTTTAACCTCTCTGTTGCCAGGATTAGCAGTAAATTATTGACCTCGGTAAGAAAGCAACTGTGTTTTTAAGCCAAAACTAAGGAGAAAAACTTTAACACGACTATCCGTTTGAGAGTATTAATTTGATCGAATCAGCCAACTCTACGAACTATCTCTGGAGCAAAAAATAATCACAAAACGATACGTGGATTTTTGACAAAAAAGATAAAATTACCCTTGAGGTATACCGGGATTCCTACGCGCAAGCAGCATGCAATTATCCCTCAACCAAGTCAAAAGTGCCCAAAATAGGTATCAACTTAAAACCTAATTTATTCATATATTTCCCATTTCATTATTTAGCTAAATTAGCTAAATAATATACTTATTCCTTTCATATTTCCTAAAATCATAATAATTGACTAATTAAGGGGTTATTCTAATCAATCCCTTAATAATCAATTGAAACACCCATCAAACCTAAACTACTAAAAATGGCCGGCCAATCCCATCAAGAAAAGTAAACCATTTATTCTCCACCTTTTCCATATTTTCCCTTTTTAATTACCCTAATTAACTAGCCAATTAATTCCAAAAACCACCAAAACATTCATTTTATGTTTAATAGCCAAAAAATTGCTAATTAAACCTAAATCAAACACAAAAACCCTACCACCTCCCTATCCCTATAATATACTCTCATTCTCACCAAAAAAAGCCAATTCCAACACTTTGGCAAAAATCCCAAAATTCTCTAAACACTCTTTCTCTCTAAATTCTAACTTTGGCATCGGAGGTTCTTCAGCCAAAGCCCCCCCATTCATCGTGGGCGCATGAGGCTCTTGGCCTTAACCTAAGGTGTTAATTGTTTTGTAGGTGCAAAATTGTCCAAGATCAAGGAGGAAGAAATTTGCATCCACACTATCTTCTAACCAAGGTCTAAAATATCGATATTATCTCGATATTTTCATTGAAATTTCCGTATTTTTTAACTACCGATATTTCCGATATTATCGATATTTTAGATCTTGATAGGAACTCTATGTGGTACTAAGTCACTCATGTATCTTACTATGCAATGTATAAAGTGCTAATTCATTATATATAAATGATTATGGTGTGTTTAAACTTCTTTCATTAATTACTACATATTTTCTACACTACAATGTTTGCCAGCTCACTATATAATCAACTTAAATCAGTTAAATCCATCAGGTAATGCATTTCCTTCCAATTTTTTGTGATAAACTAATAGATAATTGACTAAATAAATATCGTGCAAAGTTTCAATAAAAATTTCCAAGATTTTCTTACAATTTCCGTGGTTTTTATTCAAATTTTATCGATATCGATAATATCTCAATATTTCCATCGAAATTTTCATATTTTTGAACTACTGATATTTACATATCATCGATATTTAAATCTTGCTTCTAACAAACAAATTAAAAGTCAAAAGAAGTTTAAAAATACGAAATCACCCTAAGAGTGAGAGTGACTCAATGACAAGAAGTTCTCCAAATCATCCTAGCAGTCGAAAGCAACAACTACCTACACACAAATAAATAAATAAAGAGATTATTTTCTACATATCATTCTTTAATTTTAACCGTTGGATCATAAAAATTTAACATAGACCTTTCATATGTAACTGAGCATTAACGACAAAAGCTGATGTGTTTTAACTGTACATATAGCAAATTTTTAATAGATCAGTACCACCACGCAATTCTGCAACCTTGTACTACAATATTTCCTAATAATTTATCAGCTTCTAATCTTCCAACTTAATAATTAACTTTCATTTAAAATCTCACAAAAACTTTTACTTAAATAATAAAAATATTAATCGTATGACAAAATATTGAATAAGATAATGTATGCATGTCTGCCACTATCTATATTAACAGCTCGTGTCACTCCACGCTGACAATATTCCCAGTTTGCCATGGAACTCCTCTCTCTACAGTCCTTCCTCCTCTTCCTCTTCCCCTCTATCTACCTTTACTTCCACTTCTTCGCTTCGCCGAAGAAATACAAACACACCGGCTTCAAATACTACCCGATTATCGGAACCCTACCGGAATTCCTAAAAAACCGCCACCGGTTTCTCGAATGGACAACCGAAATCCTCATCAACTGCCCCACCAGCACCGCCATCTTCAGCCGCCCAGTCAAAATCCGTGGCATCATCACCGCCAACCCTGCCAACGTCGAGCACATGCTGAAAACCAACTTCAAAAACTACCCGAAAGGCGAAAGGGTCATATCCCTCCTTCAAGGCTTTCTCGGCGGCGGAATCTTCAACTCCGACGGCGAGCTCTGGATGGTCCAGAGGAAGACCGCCAGCTACGCCTTCAGCACGAAATCGCTCCGGAACTTCGTGATGGAAAACGTTAGGTTTGAGATTGGGTTGAGGCTAATCCCGTGTTTGGACACAGCCGCTGAAACGGGACGTGGTTTGGACTTGCAAGACGTTTTGGAGCGCTTTGCGTTCGACAACGTTTGCAAGTTGGCTTTTAACGTCGACCCGAATTGTCTCGCAATCGGCGGAAAATCTGAGTCCGCCGATATCGATTCCAATTCAGATCAGTTCATGCAGGCATTTGAAGAAGCAGCCACGCTTAGTTCTGGGAGATTTTTGTATGCGCTTCGGATTATGCAACAGATTAAGAGCTTTTTGAACGTTGGATCAGAGAGGAGGCTAAAAGATTCAATATCGACCGTCCATAATTTCGCGGATAACATAATAAAGTCAAGAATTAGCGACGAACGGTCGGAGGATCGTCCCGATTTGTTGTCCCTGTTTATCGGTATTCCCGAAAACAACAGCTCGCCCGAGTTTCTCCGCGATATCGTGATAAGCATCATTCTGGCGGGCCGAGACACGACATCATCGGCTCTGACATGGTTTTTCTGGCTCCTGTCGTCCAGACCTCACGTGGAGCGCGCCATTTTAAAGGAGCTCGAAACGATTCGGGTCCGAAACGGGAAACGTATCGGCGATATTTACGATTTGGACGAGCTCCGAGACATGCACTATTTGCACGCGGCGATTTCTGAGGCGATGCGGCTGTACCCTCCAGTACCGGTCGACACGAAGGCTTGTCTAAACGACGACGTCCTGCCGGACGGTACGTTCGTGGGGAAGGGATGGTTCGTGACGTACCATGCCTACGCAATGGGGAGGATGGAGAAGATATGGGGGAAGAACTGCCGTGAGTATCTGCCGGAGCGGTGGCTGACGGAGGACGGCACGTGTCGGCAGGAGAATGTTTTTCGGTATCCGATATTTCATGCCGGGCCAAGGATGTGTCTCGGGAAGGATTTGGCGTACATTCAGATGAAGTCGATTGCTGCGTCCGTGATGGAGGGGTTTGAGATCGACGTTCAGGATAGGGACACGTGTCCTGAGCACCTGTTGTCATTGACTCTCAGGATGAAAGGTGGACTGCCAGTGAGTGTGAGGAGGAGGAGATGTGTTGCTGATGATCGTTGATTATGTGATGTTTTATTGGACAAAATTAATAAGATCTTAATTGCATTTGTGTAATTGAAAGTTTCACTGTGTTTCTATTTTGTTGTCAAAATTGAAAGTTTCACTGTGATTACTACATAATATGTAACCTATTCATCTACGTGAAGAGTCTTTTCGGTTTTCGAAAAAGTAAACTATGGTAACAAAGTCACTAGTTGGTTCATTATTTTTAAAGAAAAAAAAAAGAATGCTACCTTTAATCAATTGGTTTAATCTACATATAAAGAAACCCATTTTGGATTTAATAAAGCTACTTAAGATCTAATTAATTTACAAAATGCTACCTTTAATCAATTGGTTGAATTAGTTTAATCAATCGGTAATCTACATCTACAGAAACCGATTTCATTGTGTCCGGAAGACGGCCGGTGCACCAAACGTCATAATACAAGTAATTGCAAATTTTTTTTTTTTTAAAATATCAAATCATTTGTATTATGACATTTGACGTACTGTGCTTTCGGCACATTAAAAAATCTCCCCATCACCAGACAACTAATCGTTCTTTGTTGTGCACCTAATTAGATGAAAAGTTATAGTGTGGTGCACCTAATTAGAGTATTAATTAATTTTTACTTTTGGAGTTTTTGTTTGCTTCTTAATTTGATGGAGCTAAAGGAATGCATGGCATGGCCAAAGAGGAGCTCGACGGCAGCCCTGGCTCCCTTTCCACCTCCCTCTCTCTGTTTTTGTTTGTGTGTGCTGAAACTCGAAGGATCAAAACAGAATTACTTTCGAATTTGTGGTCCTTGCCCTTAACTTTGTGTAACTATGTACGTAAAGAAATCAACGTATAGCTTGATGTGAGAAAGTTAAAATACATAATAATGTTGTAATTTTTTATGCTCGAACGCGACTTTTTACCATCAAACCAAAGTTTATGGAACAATTGATACTTATAGTAATTTGGTGTTTTTAGTGTGAGTTTAGTTTCCCTATATTGACATCGGGTTGTTGATAATTTATAGCACTGTTTTTGCAGTTGTGTCATGTGCGAGTTTAATAGTTGTAAGAGTCATATTTTACAGGAATAATCAAATTCATGACACCAGCTCGTGAATCACACGATGGTGGTTAAACGAAGGTTGAAATGTCTATATTAGTCTTCTTGGCTCCCAAAAAGTGAATTGACGCGACGAAGCCACCAGCTAGCTAGTCCTTTTTTGAGAAAAAAAAGGGTTTTAGATCCAAGTCCAAAAACATAGATTGTTTTTAAGAGTAAGTTCAATTATCTAATTACATGTTTTTATTTCTTTTATACTCATTTTATATTTTCTAAAAATATTAAAAATCAATTAAAATCTTCTAATGTTATGCATTTTCCAATTCCAAAAGATCTAATTAATATTTACAACAAAAAAACTAATATTCTAACATAAATCTATCTGCAAAACATTATACCCTAACTAAGTAACAAATATAAGAATGTATATTATACCTATAAGCGAGATATGAAACCTAACTAAAAGGTAAAAAAACATAATATATCTACAAGTAAGACACATTAATCTATGGCAGGTTGATTATAAAAAAAGAATCTATCATATAGGTAGATAAATACAATTAACCTATGATATAGTTGATTATAAAAATTAAAAATAAAATCTATAAATGGGGTTTAAAGCAAGAGGAAGAACAAGAAATAACAAATAAATAATCAAAAAGATAATTAGGAGGAAATTTTATTTTTATAATAAATCTTACCATTGAAGAGATAATTATTGATAATAAAATAATTAAATTTAAGGTATTAGACTTATTTTAATAAACTGGACTACTCTTGCTATTGGCTAAAAAAAAAATTAGACTTATATCAAGTTTATCCAAAAAAAAAAAAATCATGAGTACCATTATAATTCACTCAGAAATTTATCTCCCCCTTGATGTATCAAACTTATGATCCATTTAAAAAAAAATCATGAGTACCATTACAATTCACTTAGAAATTTAACTCCCCCTTGATGTATCAAACTTATGATCCATTTCCAATTCATTGTCATAGGCCTGATGTTGAAATTGGCTTTTTCACATGGAATTAGAGTAGCGCTGAAAATAATTCGTGAGGATACTGTTATCTTGAAATCTTAATTACGAGTTAATTTATCTGTCTAACATGAGAAATTGAGAATATAATTAATACCAAATATGATTAAAAAAGGGTTTTTATATTAACACACCACAAAATATTTAATACACCCCACATTAAAATTTAATATTAAATAACTTATTTACTCTACTATGTAATGACAATTTTGATCTTATTAGGTTTAAAAAAAAATAAAGATTTATAAATACATTTCAAATCACTTTTAGCGTATTATTTATCTTCTCAACTATCAAACATGTTGATTAAGAAAAATTGTTTTTGACGAATGGAACACGAAATCGATGTTTCAGGAGCTTCACATGAGGTAAGACTTCATAGTTTTCATTGTTTTAGTGATTTCGATGACATCGATAATTATTTAATCTTGTGTTTGTTGCATTATTTAAACTTCTATATTCATATTCATCTTTTAGTGTTCATAAGGTTAGATTCAATCCCTGAAAATTAAAAATGAGTGTTATAAGATTTGAGAAATGTGGGGTGTGAAGAAAATGTGGGATGTTACAAAATATAAAATGTATATTGAGAATGTGGGGTGTGGGGTGTGGGGGTATTATGGGAAAGAAGTGGGGTGTATTAAGATAATTTTTAAGTGAAAAAACAAATATGGGATGTATTAAGTTTGTAGGATTTATTCAACAATTTGTAGAATGTTAATATAATTAGCCTTAAAAAAAACGATATCCGCACACTTACACCTTTCTTTATTTCCATTCACTGATTTTTTTAATTAATCAATCAAAAGGTTAAAAATACCAGGAATTAATAACACAGTAAAATCAGCCTGTAAGATAATAACAGTGGCGCCAAAGTTTACATAAGCAGTTGGAATTTGGAAGTTAAAATGTCAACAAGTTGAGAAGATAGGCAAATCCAATTCAAATCCCCTCTGAAACCGTAAGACACTCACACGTTCGCACAACACCCACCTCATCTTCAACGATGCGGTGCGACGCTTCCTCTTGGCTCTGCGGTGGCCACGTTTCCGTCGCAACAACCGCACCGACTGCCACCACCGCTAGCCCCTCCTCCTCCTTTCTCTGCAAGACCACCGTTTCTTGCTGCACCGCCGCTCCTAAAGGCTCGTCCTCCTCATCATCGTCGTCTACTGGTTACGAGACTAGTCGTCCGTGGTACAAGCAGGAACAGTACAGTCATGCTCCGCCGGACGTCGTACGCCATTGGATCCAAGCAGAAAATCAACCACTCGCTTCTCGAGGTCCGTATATGTTACTTATATCTTCCTTCTGAGAGATTTTTCAGTTGGCATAATATAATTGTTTTTGTATTATGACATTTGGTTTTAGCATAGCCGTCTTTGAGATTTCGGAAGGCCTGTCCGAGATTTATAAAATGATCCATTTTTAAGATAGTTTTTATTTTTTTAAAAGTAGGACAACTAGAAAATAATAACATAAATCAAAACAACTTTTAGAACTTACCGTAAATTTACAAATATCATTAAATAAGTAAAAAGAGTTACAAATATAATCTTCACTAAATAATAAAAAATAGTTCAATCTTAAGCAACCAAATAAAGAAAACAAAAAGCTTAAAAAACTCTAACTTTAAAGTTTCACTTGAATATATAATATTATTATACAATAAAATTGAAAAGAAAATCATTTTTTAAGGTGTTGTTATTGGCTCTCCTATTATCTCATTGCGCACTCAAATTTTTTTTATTTAGAAAGAAAAAAAATTACACTTATAAAAAGTACACTATAAGATTTTAAAGTGCTAATAAAAGTATTTTTAATATATAACATTATTACATATAATATAAGATACCAAAAAATTTTGGGGGGCCTTTAAATTTGGGGGCCCTGTGCAATTGCACCTTTCGCTTCCCCTCAACGCCACCTCTGGATTTTACTCATAAAATGTATCAATGGTATATAGTTCGTGATAATGATATCGACACATGCATAGCGTATATGTATAATATGTGTGTATGCATGTTAGGGATTGTTTATTTTTGCTCATAAGTATTTATGCAATAAATGTTTTTATTAAAAACCTATTGAAGTGCTTTTTGAAATGTATTGGGAAGTGTCTGAAAGAAGTAATTTCCTGAAAAAGTACTTTTATGATACAAGCTTTTTGGTTGTTAGAAGACGCATTTAGCGCTAAGAGGAGCAGTCCCAAACATACTTGATTAGTTTATATCATAGCATACATATTTGTGATGAAAATATAAGATTTTGCCGATTAAAACTATATAAACTTCTGTATTGCAGATAGATTTTCTGTTGCATCATATAACATTTTGGGGGATCGAAATGCTTTCTGGCATAGAGATATGTACCGGAATGTGCCTTCCAAATATCTCAAATGGGACCATCGTAGGAGGGTCATATGCGATGAACTTGCGGAATGGAACCCTGATATAATGTGTTTGCAAGTAAGTAGTAAGCCTATTTAATTTGTTGTTTTCATTTTGCTACTTGATTCTGTAATTTATTGAAAAAATCACTTAAAATGGGATTTGAACTTCTTGTTGTTTGTGTGATTTATTAGGAAGTAGACAAGTATTTTGAGCTCTCGGAGATTCTAGCGAAAGTGGGATATGTCGGATCATATAAGGTTGATATTTCCGTGTTCTATACCATTTTTGTCCATGAGATTGAAGAAAACTAGTACCTTAGATACCATTCCCTTCAGTTGATTTTACTATGCTTGCAATGGCAGAGACGCACTGGAGGTTCCGTTGATGGTTGCGCTATTTTCTGGAAACCTGATAAGTAAGACAGTTGTGTTTTATTCTATTTCCTACAGTTTATAGTGCTTGTGATGGCACAATAAATCGAATAATTTTCCACCTCGTCATGTCAGTTTTCGGTTGTTGGAGGAAGAGAGTATTGAATTCAAGGGCTATGGACTTGGTGACAACGTTGCGCAACTCTCGGTTTTTGAGGTAGATCATTTGTAAACATTTGCCAATACTTTTCTACACCAGTCATGGTTCTGAGATTACTTGGCCTCAGATCAAGCCTATCAACCCTTTCGTACGGAAATATTTAACAATTCTGCTGTTTAACTAGATGGTATCCATCCTTTCCGCATCTAATTTCATTCATACAGGCAGACGCAAAAAGCTGAATCAAGAAATGTAGTGATCGGTAACATCCACGTGCTTTATAACCCAACCCGAGGGGAAGCAAAATTAGGCCAGGTAAGTTCTTTTACACTGATGCTCATTTTCTGGTGCATAATAAAATGCAAAAAATGTCTGCTTCCCAACAGAGATAAAGAAGGCTTATATACCTTATGTTGGGGCAATATGCTAAACTGCTTGATCAGTAATTAAATCGTGTTGTGTTTCAGATACGTTTTCTCATATCAAGGGCGAAAATCCTCTCAGAGAGATGGGGTAATGCCCCTGTTGTCCTTTGCGGCGATTTCAATATCACTCCTAAGGTTGGATATTCTTAAGTCCAAAATTCATACAAATTTCATCGTCATTGCACCCTACTTTTAACAGTGACAAACTAAGTTGAACTACTTCCCTGCTTATTGACAGAGTGCAATATACAAGTTCTTGTCAAAATCTGAGGTGAGTTGCTATCCGCTTGAATATTATTTTTTGGTCACACGGATACTGATGGATGCGATACATCCAACATTCATTTTGAAATCTGTATGATTTTTTTACAGCTGAATATCATGTTATATGACAGAAGAGAGTTATCTGGGCAGAGAGATTGTCATCCTGCTAAAGTTTTGGGTGCCAAACAAGAAATTAGCAGTCCACTTACAATGATAGACGGGTATGTCTCATATATGTTAACGCAGATACATATTTTCGATTCTGTTTTTATTTAATTCCTATGTCCTAATACAGATGTGACGTGCATACATTCATCACAACTAAATTCTAATCATATATTAAAGAATTTGGCTAAACAGATTCGGGCTATTTGCTATAAACAAGATGACTGAGGCGGGTTGTCTTATTTTGCTCTAAACGTTCTTATTTTAGATTGCTGAAGCACTGCTGGACAGATGAAGAAATTAGAGTTGCAACCGGAGATGCCGATAGCCATTTAGTTGTGCATCCGATGAAGCTTAACAGTTCCTATGCCACGGTGCAGGTACAAATTTTTATTCCGTTACCACCTGAATGTTTAATACTCCAGTTTTTTTATGTAGTATATCATATTTTCAGGGTTCTACAAGAACACGGGACCCCAATGGTGAACCTGCAGCTACTACCTACCACTCAAAATTTCTTGGAACCGTTGACTACTTATGGTGCTTTTCTTAAATTCCGTAACAACGATTCTAATGTTGGTGGAGTTGGTTATGACAATGAAAATGCAGATGAATCATGTGAAATTCTTGTGTTTGGTATAGGTACTCTGATGGACTTGTGCCCACTAGAGTTATAGACACCGTTCCAGTTGATGTTCTGCAAAAGATTGGTAGCCTCCCTTGCAAGGTAGGGCAACTTGTGATTCTGCTACCTGATTGCATTCGAGCTAAAACTTTACGAAGCTTCTAAATCGTCAATAGTGACATATAGATGCATTTGTGGGGTTGATGGAGGTTCTGTGTGCGTGTGCATGCGCGCGTGTGTGATTCTCTCTCAGGGCATAGGTCCAGTTCGCAGTATGATCAAGAGTGTGCGTGTGCATGTAAATAATGTTGTCTTCAAATCTGATTCTATTTTCTCATACTTGTACACAGAAAGTGGGAAGCGATCACTTGGCCTTAGTTACGGAGTTCGCCTTCAAACCGGGCACAAACGAAGACAACAAAGAAACTGCTGCATCGTCAAGCAGAACAGCGTTTTCCAAGCTTTAGAGAAGGAAACTTGTTGGCATACCTTGCATCCGGAAACTTAATATTCTTCGCGCCCGCAGAAGGATGTTTTATATCTTGAATAGCAAGTAAAACGGAACATAAAGCTAGATTGTTGCTCCCCTCAACATGTATTGTATTGAGCATGCTTGGCTGCGAAATTAAAAGCGGCAAGTGTTGCTGAAAAGCTGACCATAAATGGACTTGTGTTTGAATAATTGACATCGAAAACTATGATGTCCTCTTGTGACTGAGTTTCAGCAGCGAAGCATGGATTTATTGTTTTATACACAGTAAAACAAAGTAAAATTTGTGTACAAACGGGAAAAAAAATTAAAATGTATGAGCATCGATCATTTGAAGCTGGTGCTGCTGCATGCTAACCAAAACAAACACAAACAAACATCATCGTCACCAATAATTTAACCATCAGATCAAAATTAAACTAATTATATGATTAATGTATAGTAGTCGCATAAATGCGGTAGGTCTCGGGTTTGAGACTTAGGAGCAGTCTCTCCATAAATGGGGGTAAGGCTAGCCGACATTCACCTCTCACAGACCCTGCGTAAAGCGGGAGCCTTGTGCACTGGGTACGACCTTTTTTAATGTATAGTAGTCGCATACCTCTTAGTTCCCTTTGATTTCTTCTAGGGTTCAAACTGTGAGAATGTGAAGACCAAGTCCTACATCGGTATGGGACTAAACCATGCAAGGACTTACCGAGTTAATTTATATTACCAATTAGTTTTATGATGAAACCTTAACTTTCTTCATAAATTGTTCATGGTTGAGGTCAAATTCATGTTCATGCTAACAGAAGAGCAAATGTGATGCAGGGCCCAGCAGATAGAAACAAAATAAAACAAAAAATAGGATAGATAGGTAGGGTCCATTATCTCCTAGTGCGAGGAGAGGCCTGAAAACCCTATAAACTTTGGTTCTAGTACCAGCCTACAACGTAGACACTGGAAAGAACAAAGCAACAAACTCTTAAACAAGAGAAAGACACATAAAAACGAGTTTACAAATCAAATATCAATATGATAATTCAAACAACTTCTCCCCTTCTATACAAATACAAGTATTTATAGGCTTACAACTTAAAGTGAAAAATATGAAAAGACATAAAAAATAAAGGCTTACAATATAACTCCTAAAAAACTAAATGATTTCATTAAATGTCATTAACCTAGGAATTCCATAAGCCACAAATTTAAAGCTAGATACATGCATTATAACTCTAAAAAATGCATGTATTATATTATAAAACTTAAATCCCCAGCTGCCAGTAATTTTATGTAATAACGCCTTTAGTTTTTGGCCTGCATCAGGATGCAATACCAAAAAAACGACTTCCTTCTTAGGAAGTGCAGAAACAGCTTTTTGGAGTTCGAGCACGGTCCCAATAAGAAAAGACAAAATGAAAATGTAGCCAGCATTCTTCTTTGTTTAACATAAGTTTTACATCAGGAAATTGAGAGTACAATATACAAGTGTATGGTTCCACTCCCGATAGTATCAAGGTTTTTGTGACAAAACTCAACATCCAGCAATAAGTGATTAAGTTGGGACAATGTTGGTGTGGTTAGGAGTGTGTTAGTGGTTTGTTGCTCTTATTATCTGATATGATATTAAAGCGGATTTGATTATGTCTCTTGTGGGTCCATCTCGTGCCCGAATTACTAAGGTTTAATGTAATACAATGCTTCCGCTCTTAAAGTCCGATGTGAACCACATCAAGTTGATTAGTGGTAAAGGCGCGTATTGCGACTCTACAATAAACAAAAAAAATGTGGGAGTCCCAGGTTCGATGCTTCGAGCTGATAAGTCTATTTGACTGTGGCCATAAGTATGGTGAAATTCTCCATAGCCTCTCTGGGCCCGAAAGGGATAAATAACCCTCGCTTGCCACTTCCCACAAAAAAAAACCATGTGGAATTGGTTGCACGTGTGGCCACTACTCCGTGGTGGTCCCACGTGAGGGGGAATGTTGAACATATGTCCCATATCAGGAGGTTGAGAAAATAAAAAAAAAACAATATATAAATGTATGGTTCCATTGCTAACAACTTTTTGTGACAAAATTAACATCTAATAATGGATGGTTAAGTTGAAACAAAATCGATTTGGTTAGAGTCGGCCAATGATCTAAATATTAGACACTCTTCTACTAATGGTCGGCAAGATGTATTCCTTTTTATTTTATTTTTAAGGAGGACCACTGGTGGTAAGGTTATCCACCATTTTCGGGATCTGAGAAGATTCACAGAGGCATTTCAGCCTTCTCCTGGCCACAAGTCTGCCTTTCACACAAGTAGCAAGTTTCGAGCCCAAAACCTCTAGTTTTTAATTTTAAGAAAATTTCGTAACCTGTCATTTACCACTGAGTCACCAACTCGTGGTTTGTCGGCAAGATGTAATCATTTCTCCTAACTTCCAAGCAACGCCACCCGCCGCGTTCGTGTTTCCGTGGCTGCGTGACACCGTAAAGCTCAAGTGGTCCCACACTGCTCTAAACTCGCAAGCCACACGGCATAAACCGCATAACCCCTTTGACCGTCGTAAAATCCTGTCCGTTAATTTCATGCTGGCCCCACCTGATTATTTTATCCGGAATCACGTGTACAACGAGCCCCTATTTGGTACCATTACGTGTTCTCGCGAAACACAACACAAAATCCAGAAAAAAGGAGAAAGCGACACGCGTTTGACTCCACCAATCAGGGCCCGCCGCGTGTATTGCCCCTCCGCCTTGTACGGCAAAGGATCTCCCGCTACCTTCCCTCTCTTCGCCGTCTTCGACTCCCTCAAATATCGGGGTCCCCAAAATTTTCTCTCGATTTTTCTTCCCAATTGACGGTCGGATTTTTTGCGTTTAGGGATTCCAACTGAGCAGCTTTCCTTCTGAGATTTTGAGAAGCGTTGCTCTTTGGTTTGGACTCTGTAGTTTCCGAATTCGAATTTTCCAGAAATTTAATTCAATTTTTTTTTAATTTGATTTTACTGATGATTCAACGGTTCGTTGACAACGTCATCGCCGTCACCAAAGAGTGAGAGTCTTCCTTCTCTTTTTACCAATCGATTCGAGTTCGAATTGTTTTTGGAAAAAGATTTCGAATTTGGTTTTTTGGAATCGTTTTTGAAATTGGGTTTTGGTTTTATTTTGGTGGGTTGCAGGTCTGTGAAGACGTTCACGTACGAATCGCTGAACAATGTCGTGCGGCTGATCAATGGAATTTCGGCTCTGTTGCTGACGTTTCTGCCGGGGAAGGCGAACATTCTCGAAGGCATTCATGGATGGGAGCTCAGGCCAACGTTTCGGGGACCCAGATTTCCTCGCTGGATGGAGAAGTAAGTTTTGGGTTTTGATCATGGAAAGATATGGAAGCTCGTTGAATTCAAAATTTTGAGAATTTTCTATCGTTCGGTAAATTTGTTTTGTGATTGTGGGAATTGGGATTGTTCGTGATGAATGAGTGTAATTTTTTGGTGGGCAGTAGTTATTTTGAATGTATAATTGACTGAATTCAGAAATTTTAAATTTTTTATGTTACTTGGCAATTTATTTTTTATTTGTGGAATTGGGATTGTTCATCATACATGAATGGATAGGGTGTAATTCTTTCGTGGGCAGTAGCTATTTTGTACGAAAATTTTGACTTAATTCAGAATTTTGGAATTTTTCCATCACTTGGCAGTTTGTTCTGTGATTGTTGGAATTGGGATTATTCAAATCAATGTGTGTATATTCTGGTGGGAAGTAGTTATTTTGTATGTAAAGTTAGTTCCTTTTATGTAATATCTATCTACCTTCTTGTAAGACTGTAACGTTTGATGCATCAATATTAGTTGCTGATTGACATGTCCATTTTCCTTGATGTTTGTAGTGGGGTGTCCTCTTTCAATCATTTTGTACACGAGCTTTCTGTGGATTCCGATTCTGATGGTTCGAACCTTGATTATGCATACGGAGATGAAGATAGTGATTACGACATATCTCCTGCATCACCATCCTCTCAATGTTCAAGAGCCTCGCGGGCTTCTAGTTTCAGCAAGCACGATAGGCGCTGGTCGTGGTGGATGTGGATCAGATACATATTTTTCTGGATTCTGTTTCCCGCGAGGTTTTTGCTCGGGATTCCAGTTCGCATTTTGCAGTTGTCTTATTCTAGATCATCAAAAGCCTCTGCTGCACCAGGAAGCAATGAGGCTTCACAAACGATAAGTAAAGTACAGATTCTCAAGGATCACATTGTTCACCGAACCACTGATAGGAGGCGTGGAGTCATTGAGGTCTGTTCACAGGCTAATTATGCCATTTAAAATAACATGCAACATTTGTTTTCTCTTCCATTTTTCTCATCTTTAACTTGTTCTAACAGGATCTTCACCTAGCAATCGAGATATTCATAGAAGCTATTTTTGATGTTGTTCACAAGGCGGCACATTTTGTTCTTTCACCTTCGGTGGCTTTTAAAACACTATCAGGATGGTGTTCACTGAGCAGCGGTGGTGTTCAATATAGTCATGGTAATGATTCAGAAGTTACTGTTCCCACAGCTTCACTTGGAGAGAATGATCCAGCTCTTAAAGAAAGGAATACTTCTTTTCAGCATTCGCTAAATACCGATGCTCGTACTTGTCAGGATGTCATAACAGAGCTTGGGTAAGGCTTTGGTACTGCTTACTTGATTGAAGAACCTTTCACTTTTTGTTTGAATATTTCGTGATCTGCAAATTGCTCATTCTTTTTTTCTCTATTAGGTACCCATATGAAGCTATTCATGTGATCACCAATGATGGCTATGTTCTTCTCTTGGAAAGACTCCCGAGGTATATAATCGATGTATTGGCTTTTTTTTTTTCCTTCCCTGGTGAATAACTTTGTTTAAAAATTGCGGTGTCTAATATTGTATTGTGATGCTGCAGACGTGATTCCCGGAAAGCTGTTTATCTTCAACATGGAGTATTTGATTCATCTATGGGGTAAGTTATTTCTTCTATCCTTTTTCAAGTGCTCTAGAACTGGTTATCAGAGTGATGCATTGTCCTTCCTGCTACAATATCTCTAATGGGTTATTTCCTTTTTCCAGATGGGTGTCTAATGGGGTGGTTGGTTCACCAGCATTTGCAGCTTACGATCAAGGTTAGCATGTTTCCTTTGAAAGCATATACAGCTTGCAGTACAGACAGCTGTATTGGCTTAGAAATATGCTAATGGCACTTTTTTTTGCAGGATATGATGTTTTCCTTGGGAACTTTCGTGGCTTGGTTTCTAGGGAACATGT